AAAACATAATGCACAAAACGTCATGAACCAAAATATTATTTCTGATTAGAATAAGTTCTTTATATATCATCGAATAATACGACAATAATGTAGCATATACTCCCACCATAATGAAGCTTACTTAGTATGTAACACACCCATATGAGCAGGATGCTCGTGAAACACCATAGGTGTTACACCATTAGTTATGGGATCTTCTAACATAGATGTTGTCCCTAAGTGTTCAAATAGAAATATGACCATTTTATATCCTCTCTTTCAGAAACTAGGAACTTAATGTCAATATGGTTTGACTTGGACGAGATCCTATTGTTGTTGGAGTATAGAACGACGGATTTATTTTCACAAAAGTTCTTGATAGGTCATTCAACCTTTGGAATGATTCGCAGCCTCGTGACAAAGTTCCTGATGGAGACGATCTCACGATGGCTTTTCTGGACAAATATGATCGTCTTCCAGCGTTAATTTGATTATTTACATTGCTTTATTAATTATATTATTGCCTTCTTATTATTATTATTATCCCATTTCCTTATTTTTATTTAGGATTAGGAAAATAATTATTATTGAGAGTTATCTTGTTTAGCAAGTTAGGAGTTTTAGTGGTCTAGGACTATATATTATTCCTCTCTTTATTGTAGCAGATGGTGAATGAATTTGAGTTTTATCAAATAATGTGAGTTCATCACGAGAGATACCTCATATCTTTTCCGTTCTTATTCACGTTCTACATCAGTTGGTATCCAGAGACCAGCGACGATCCGCGATGCCGCCAAAGAAAGAAAATGCTGCAAACGATCCAACCATCAACGATCTATTCCAACGGATGGACGATCGGATTCAAGGGATGGATGATCGATTCATGGATCTTTCCACGGGGATCGAGGAGTTACGTTTAGCTATGCGAACCATGATGGTAAAGGTGCAAAGGAACCGCGACGCCGACGACCAGGGCGTGCGCGGAGGGTTTCGCGGTGGACGTGGCTATGTTGGGGCGCCCTGCTGGCGGTCACCACACCCATTGCCCGACGACGACAGTATCGATGAAATCCTAACTGCTGACAATCCGTTCACCGACGGGTACCAACAACGCGGTGGGGCTGACATGCTCCATGCGCAGGGGGGACATGGCGGAAGGCGTGACGATCGCGGCTCGACGAGTGGCGATATCGAACGTCGTGAGACCAGTTTCTTTTCGAGATGTGCAGGTGCTGATAGCGATGAGTTCTTGCGCTGGGACGGACTGGCCTTTGAGGAGGGCGAACAACACCATCACGATGGCTGATTTGAGGATGACGACCAGCCCTGTCGTGATAGGCAGCGCAACGATGGGTTCGACGGGGCCGACCAGCGGAATCGAGGTTGGGGTCCTGATGACGGCGTCCTGGGGTTTTACGGTGGCGGACAACAGCGCCGCGGTGGGTGGATTGACCGAGATGATGCCGGACTCGACGACGTTGACCTACACCGTCGCGGCTGGGGCCATGGACGTGTCGGGCGAGAGTTCCATGCAGCGGGCAACAACATCATATTTTGGGCCGAGAAGACACGGGCCAGGGACAGCACAGACATGGTTTTCGCTGGCCAACGGACGGACACGGCGACCCCTGTTGGGAATTTGGGTTTCGGGTCGAGATTTCTGAGTTTTTGGGTGGAGTAGATGCAGCGGAGTTCCTCGACTGGTGGGTTGCAGTTGAGTCCATCCTGAAATTTAAGGAGATCCCAGATGAAAGGCATGCCGCGCTTGTCGCCACGTGATTTCGTGGACGAGCGACGACATGGTGGATGCAACTCACGAGTTTGCGGCATCGCCTGGGAAAGCCAGAGATCTCCACTTGGATGCAGTTCTGTAAGTACGTAGCACGTGCATTTATGCCTTATAATTATGATCATATGGTTTATCAACAGTTACATACTTTGCGGCAAGGACTGCGTTCGGTTCACGAGTATACAAAGGATTTTTATCGCCTCTTAACTCGTGTCGAGATACGTGAGACAAATGGCCTGTTGGTTGCTCGTTATGTGGGGGGTTTGAATATTGCTATCCAAGATGTGCTTAATCTAGTTGTCCCGGAGTTTGTTTCGGATGCACATCAACGAGCTCTCATTGATGAGAAACGGTTAGCTCGGAAGACGGGTCCGTCGCGTTTTCCTCACGGGCGAATACATTTATGAGTACTGGTGTGCAGTCCGGACATGGACCACCTTCTACGGGCGTGTACTTGGGCTCAGCGCTGGCAATGGGGCGTGGAGCTGTGGCTAGCAGTGGGCTTCCATGATCAATAAGCAAAATGGGGTTCGGTTCGACCGTCGGTACACAGCGGGCTGGTGGTGGTTTACATTGCTTCGGCTGCGGTGAGATTGGCCATCGACAAACGGCTTGTCTAAGAGAGACCGGGTCACGTATTTTGTTCGCCGATGAGATATCAGAATATTCAGCAGCTGCTGTATATGATTGCCCTCCTATTTCCGACAAAGAGCCGGAGGTTCCTGAGGTGCATGTCTCGGGGGACATGGGACACGCGCTTGTCCTTCGTCGCTCTCTTTTGTTTCTGCACGTTACTTCCACTGATGAGGGACTGGGTCGGCATCTTTTTGAATCTACGTGCACCGTTCCCTGCCAATCCGATTCTGTCTGAAACTTGAGACAAATTCAGTTTCATCGAGCGGAAGGAGGGCTAGGAAGGAGAAGACCTTATGGGCGGCCGGCTGTGCCGTTTTGTCATTGATTCCGGGTCGTGCGAGAACGTGATATCTGAAGAGACCATTGAGACGCTTGGGTTGTCGACACAGCCGCATCCAGATCCTTATGCTCTCGTGTGGATACAACATGACAACGTTGTCCTTGTTAATCGGCATGTGTTGGTGTCTTTCTCTTTTGGCTCTGCCTATAAGGATGACGTGTGGTGCGATGTTGTGCCTATAGATGATTGGCACCTTTTACTAGGATGTCCTTGGCAGTTTGATCGTGCCGTGGTACATGATGGGCGTCTTAACACGTATGGATTTCTGTTTGGGGGACACCCGCGTTGTCTTACATACATCGGCCCCCCGTTCGGTTCCATTGCCACAGCCGTCACCGCCACTATTTCTTTCTCGTGAGGGGCCGTGTGGAGACTGGGTTAGGGCATTAGACGGTCGTTCCGTGATCTTCGACGTGGGTGAATTTGTGTAGGTTGCTTCTCCTCCGAACGATAGAATCAGCCCCTATGAGATCATTGAAAGGCTCACGCAGGATACTTACCATGTTCACTTGCCTTTTCATAAGTGTCCATTTGGTGTTTTTCACGTGACGAAGTTGGCCCCTTTACGCGACGACGGTTCCGACGGAGACGAGCTCAGTACGGATTCAATGGCAAATCCTTTTCAACTGACGGAGGATGATGGAGACGAGCTCACGATGGCTTTTATGGACAAATACGATCGTCTTTCGACGTTAATTCGATTATTTACATTGCTTAATTAATTATATTATTGCCTTATTATTATTATTATTATTATTATTATTATTATTATTATTATTATTATTATTATTATTATTATTATTATTATTATTATTATTATTATTATTATTATCTCATTTCCTTATTTATGTTATTTAGGATTAGGAAAATAATTATTATTGAGAGTTATCTTGTTTAGCAAGTTATGAGTTTTATGGGTTTAGGATTTTATATTATTCCTCTCTTTATTGTAGCAGACGGTGAATAAATTTGAGTTTTATCTGATATTGTGAGTTCTTCACGAGAGAGTATCTCGTATCTTTTCCGTTCTTATTCACGTTCTACATCAGTCCCTTAACCAGATTCCCTGGTGTGACGCCTCAAAACACGCCACAAACTCAACTTTCATAATGGAAGTGTTAACAAGTGTTTGTTTAGCACTACGTCAGGAAATGACACCACCAACCATCATAAACAGGCACCCAGGCGTAGATTTCTCACTGTCCTGGCACCCTGCAAAATCAGAGTCAGAATATCCAACGATCTCCAAATGGTTTGATCTTCTATATTTGAGCATATGATCCTTAGTTCTCTTCAGGTATCTCATCACCATTTTGGTTGCTTTCCAGTGATCAATCCGAGATTACTAAGGTATCTACCTAACATACCAACTATATACGCAATATCTGAACGCGTATATACTTGAGCATACGTTAGGCTCCCAACCGCTGAGGTTTAAAGGACCTTTTGAATTCCCTGGATTTCTAAAATTTTCTTTGGGTATTGACTTAGGCTAAATTTGTTTCCTTTAGTCACATGGGTATGTCTTGGTTTGTTGTTATGCAATTCAAAATGTTCAAACACTTTATCGATATAGCTCTTTTGTGATAACCCTAGAATATTTCAAGATCAATCTCGGTGTACCTGAATTCCTAATACAAAAGATGTTTCACTAAGATCTTTCATCTCCAAGTTACTAGAATGAAATTTTTTAGTTTCGTGCAACATGCATATATCGTTTCGTACAACATGCACCAAGATTCCTAATACATGTTACACCAAGATTCCCAATACACAAGATGCTTCACCATATGAACAATTTTACAATCCCGATTCGAAAAGGGTATCGACCCATGGGTCGCTAGCCCTCAGTGGGACAAGACGACACTATTGTTGCCTCATCCATCCTCACTCCACAGGCATGGCGATTCAGCACAATCCCGAGTAATCCCAAGTCTAAGCAGGCATCAAGTGACACCGGGCACGTATGGCTTTTGAAAATGGAAATTAACCAGACCAACAAAGTATTTCAACCCATACTCGTTGCATGTTTTCATGTCCAATCAGAGTGTAATGAACCCCCACAAAACAATCGTCGCATAGCTAAACAGAACTTCATAAAAGAATAAAGATAACACACACCATCTAAAATGATATAAGTACCAAGTGTACACTTCATTATAACCAATTTCATATGAGAAACATAAAAAAGCAGATAACACCTAAAACCACAATAAGATCAAAAGCTCAAAATTCGGAAAAAAAAAAAAAAGGCCCTCAAATCCCCAACCTGCGCAGCTCCTCCGCCCCATGCGCAAAGTGACACCTGTCCCCAAACGTGCACGACCCCTTGGCAAACTTCTCACACAGCTTCGTCTTGAAACTGTTGCTGCCCGGCCCGTAGCTCAACGCCCCCTGACCCTTGCTGGGTGGCAGCGGCTGAGGCGGGCCTGCTGACATCGCAGCGACATTAGCGACGAGCTCGTGGACCATCTGGCTGGCCTGCTTGATCTGGTCGAACGTGCCCTCGAGCTCGATGTTGCGCAGGTTAGGGTTCGACTCGTGGTCCCTCACCGAGAGCTTGGCCCCCGTCACGCGGCATATATGCTTCGAGTTCACCCCTCCCTTGCCGATCACGGCACCCGCCATGGCCGAGTCGATGCTGATCTTGGCCGTGGCCGAGGCTCCAAAGCCCCCGGGGGGCGATGGGCCCGCTCGGGCCCCGCCATACCTTGGCCCGTCGTGAGGGGGAGGAAAAGTGGGCCGGCCGAGCTCACGGTCTCCATGCGCGAAGTTGCACTTGTCCCCGTACTTGCAGCCTTCGGGCGAAGCAAAACGGTTGCATAAGCGGGTCTTGACGGCCGGAGGGGAGGACCCATCGGGGAAGGAAGGGGGGGGCACTGGGTTACGGGCAGCGGGCGGCATGGCCGGATTGTTGCCGAGGATCTGGGAGACGGCCTTGATACCTCCCGGGATGTAGTGGAGGAAATGGCATCCATCACCGAAAGGGCAGCCACAAGTACTGAAAGCAAACCAGACATGTTTAGCAATGATTGTTAAAAAAAAGAGATTGAGAAAGGAATTAGTAATGTTGCAGAAGATAAAAGGACTTTGGCCAAAGGCAGTGAAGTATAATGATACTAACAATTAAGAAGAAAATATGGATTTAAAAATACTTGATTGAACATTTCTGATTTTGAAAAATGAAGAGGAAAGTACAAACAGAAAACTACCAGTTAATACTTCAACATGCTTCAAGCATGAAGCACATATATTCATAAAAATAGAATCTTCTTACAACTTTAACATAATCATCAAAATAGAACCATCCCAGTAGGTCAAATCAAGGTTACAGCGGGTGATCGAGTTCATAAATTTATGAAATAAAGTTCACGAAATGAATAAAGATTTTGAGACAGCAAAACTGTCCCTACAAGTTACATGGGAGATGATAATGATTCATGTTTAACCATATATTGATAATTCCATACAAGTTACACAACACCAATGTATGAATGTAATCGGCAAACGAAATTTATCCAATTCTCACTGCACACGCAATCCTTAAAAAAACTAGAATTAATGAAGTGAGAAAAGAGTATAAAAGTTTTAATCAAATCAGAAGACCACATTATTTCTATAAACATGGTGAAACAAGGCAGAATTGACACTTCATTTCTGTGAGGCAGTATGAATATCAGTAATCTATATAAGACACCAACAAGAGCAAGCCCCTCTTTTGACATAATTACATGATACCATCATGATTCATGATATATAGCTTTAATATAATAAAATAACCACTGAGAATATGGAATGCTATAAACTGCAACAGCAAAGAGGCTGACTTAGATAGAGCAACTATCCAGCACAAGTTCAAACTGCAGCTCACGATTCAAGAATCTCCATTAAACAATAATGGCATGACAATGAATATAATGGCCTCAACTTTACATTTTTTTTACCAACTAATATAATAAATTGCACTCTTTTACGTCCATTTCCATTCACTTTGCTATCCAAGCAAGATGTGTTAACCCAATAGATTCATTCATCCATTTCCATTCAACCGCCTTCATTACTGACTAACAAAGAGTAAAACCTGTGTCACAAACTTAAATTTCAATTCATTAGTTCCAATAATACAACTGTTTACAATGGGATTAGATGAATTTCGATGCCAATTTATAACCACCATAAATATAAAATGTCAAAAACAATTTACAATTGCGACATTAAGTTTAGATAAGTTAAGATTAGAACCTGAAAAACTTTGTGCAAGGCTTCGATTTGCTTCCTATACCGGTTGTAATTGACTCCATTTCTGTTGCATAGAATTAATAGTCTTCTCAGTTACAATTTCTCTTGAGTTTATAATAGCCGAAATTCTAAATAATCTTTAATCCACATACTAACTATCATCATTTACACTGATTGCTTATCATTTGAAAAATATTTACTCGGTAAATCATCATACGCTGCCTTCTACCCTTCCCTTTCATTTTTTTTTTTAAAGA